TGTCAAACGTCTACAGGTGTTGATTTGGAATTGTTTTTTTATTCAAGATGCAAACTACAACTTTGTTCAATAAATATTTCAAAGTGGAAGATCTCAATGTGCAATGTTTAATCAATTAAAAACATAAAATGTGTCGAATGACTTGTAAAATTTTTTTATAATATTCGCATCATTAAAAAAAGAAAATAGAATGACAGGTGCATCGTTCTTAATCAATTATTCATTCTTGTTACAGTCCAAATGAACAAAAGCGGAAAAGAACGTCATTTTCAATGTTATACGTCTAACTGCAACATCAATGCTCATTCGAAAATAATGAGCAGACATCGAATGAAATCGAGAAATTCATTCGAGCTTTAGTGCCAAAGTACCCTAGTAAAAGCTGCGCTATTACAATAACCTCTCTGTCACTCGTTTGAATCTAGAACAAACGACAGAAAAAAAAATCGCATGCAAATGGCTTCCCCTGCATACACTCAATCACTTTCGAGTGTGCCATAACGTATACGCCAACTGACTTCGAGACCAGCCCTCTTGTATTGCGGAGTCGATTCTTCTCGAGATTTTTCTCTTCCTCTTTTCAATTCTCTCTGCGAATATATGCTGCCATTATAAAGCTCAGTTATTTTTTGCTTTTGTCTAATATTCATAAATGGTTTACTTTCAGTTCGACGTTATGTTTTTGAGTATTAATGCACTTTTGAGTTGGATTCATTTTGTATTATTATGGATTTATGATCAGGAGTGTAATTGTCTAAGAAATAATATTCAATTTGATTGATTTCAAATACACAATTTCGAAATGCTTAACGGCAAGACAAGTTATCCATAAAATAAGAATACGCAAATCTTAGGATTCGATTGACTTTATTTTTACATTTCATAAAGCGGTTTTCTGCTCAAACAGTACTTTATTTAGGTTCTAAATTTGCTGTTTCATGGCGTATTTTAAATCAAGACATAGTTTAAAATATATTCCTCTTCATACGATATTTTCATTAAATTTGCAATTGTAAATACAATTTCACTATAACTTTGCTTCTCTAAATTTTCATAATTTCTTTTCGGTTTTTTAAATTTTTGTTTGTGTTACCTTAGCATTATAATTGATTAAATTTCATGGCATGTTAATGAATCAAGCTTACGATTATTTTGAATAAGTTATCTTTGCTTCTTCTCGCTGTGTTTTAAACATAATTGCAATTGATTGTCTTTGCTCTAATGCCAGTTATTATGGCACGTTTGCTAAAATCACGTCTTTATTAGGCAATGTCTCTGCTCTGATGTTGTTTTACGGAACACGGAAAGACAGCGGAACCTCTTACGACAATTGAAAGAATAATTCAAACGCAGTAGCTGAAATTTAAATGCAAGATGAATATAGTTTTAGGAAATAAAATGTTAGTTGAAGCTGTGCTCGATCGGAGGATTGAGAAATTAAAAAAAAAACCATTAGCTTACTGCAGAAAAATATAAAAAATTCGTTAAAGATCCTGACAGTTACTAAATTACAATAGAAGCTGAATGGTATACTGCGCATGAGTAACGCAAATGGCGTTTATAACAGATTATTATTTTCAATCTCGGGTCTACGCGCATTTATCTTCAATTCATCCCTAAACACGTTGCTCGCTCGTACACTTCAATAAGCTTTCTCAGCGTTCTTCTCTCTTTCTCTCCTTTGAACCCGCGACTTTTTCTTGATGTGTGCAGCCTTACACGGCATCGTTCTCTCTCTCTCTCTCTCTCTCTCTCTCTCTCTCTCTCTCTCTCTCTCTCTCTCTCTCTCTCTCTCTCTCTCTCTCTCTACCTCGACATCGGTGCGGGCTTGATATACATCCCTACAGATCTCGTGAAACGATAATCGCAATCCGCATTTCATTAGGGGCTCGAGTTATGTGCTCGGCATCTCTCTCGCGCCTTTTTTCCTTAACCCCCAAGCGAGTAGGGGGCAAACCGATCGTTTTGTACCTTTTCTACGCGCCTCGCTCGCTCTTGCCTTCGACGCGCGGCCTCGAGCTTTCTTTGACTCCCCGCGCGGTACGAGATGCCGTAGCATCGAAATAACACGGGTCGGACCTGGCTGCCGCCAGCCACACATGTCGAGGACGCGTGTACATAGATTACAAGCTCGCTCGAATTCGATACAATGCTAATTAAAGGAGGGCTTACGCTCGAGCCAGCGAGCAGCGGCAAAGGCCCCGAGAAATTTGTAACACGCGCCCGGCTAACAATGACAGCGGCCTCGTCACGCTGCTGGGTTTACGCGCGGGGGATGTTAAGGGATTTTCGGCCGCGCCGGCGCGCTTTATTGAGATCGGCCCGCAGGACATCAACCGCGCGTGCTATGTGTTGTCGCGGGCTAGAAGCCTGATCGCTTTCATTGACCGCTAAGCCCTCGCAATCTCCTTTATTCTTTTTTATTGCCTTCAATGGCTTTCCTTCTAATGCGCCCTCTCCCCTCCCACCTCGCTCGCTATCTTTCTCACAATGAGTCTTTTTCGCGGTGTAACGAAGCTTTTGTCGTGCAATTTATTAACGCGCGCTTATGAATTTACGCAATTGTGCTTTCGTCCGGTTCGTTTTATACGCGGGGTGTCGTTGCGTAAACCTCAGTATTCTACGCAGCTACTTCCAACGCCGTATCATCCGACTGACGCGAAATGTCATTCGCTTATTTTTCCATCATCAATTTATTTATTTTCATGGTACTTTTCGTCCGAATCCCAATGAATACTAAATGTATTTCATCTGGCAGAAAGTTTGTTAAGTATTTAAATAATTGTTGATGATAACAAAGATAACTGAATGTAACGGCTCTTGGATTTTTTATTTTTTCATCATGCAAATATAGTTCTTCCGCAGTCAAAATTGAATTCCAAATTTCTAGACACCTTTGTTTTGAGTAAAATATTTACTCAAAATTTTACAATACTTTTTAACATCGAATGCGCAATGATCCATTGCATAGTCTTCAATTTTACTGATGAAACACCATTGTCCGACGTAACTTTAATTAGATTAAATTAAAACGACTAAAGAATTTTGTTCAACTTTCTTCTTGAAATCAAAATATATGAAGTGACATAAATTTGTGCGTAAAGATACAAAAAAAATGTTTTTCTAGGTAGATCTCATTTGAAAAACTACTCGAAAAACTAATTTAATTCATCATTGCCTGAAATGAACATTAGAATTTTTTTTCAATAAATAACCGAAACAATGTGGTTAAGAATAGATAATCTAGTTAAAAACTTTATATGTCACGTAATAGAAATCGAAATATGCTATATTAAATTATTTAAAAGAGAAATAGTCGTTTTAAAATCAACTCACATATACAGTTACGCACATTATTTATATCTATATCCGAACATAATTTCATAAGAAGTATTTCAAAGTAACTGGATTGCAACAATTGGCTCGAAAAGAGCTCGATCCAAACTCACACGGCACAAGAAAACATCCGACCGATACCCATCACAAAAACGAACCCCTGCAATTAATTCACTCAATGGTGTGCGTACCTTATACCAATAATAAAAAAAAGAATAAACACCAAGAGAGGAAAGAGAGAGAGGATGAACTCACTTGGATAATGGTTCAATTGCATAACACAAGCGATCATCGGTCGTAGATCAAAGGAAGGAGGCAAACGCTGCACTTCCTGTTTCTCCACTGCTGATCCGCCCGAAGAATTCCGAGGCAGTAGAGAAGCAATTTCCCGGTGATCATTAGAAAATATTATTCTTGAATAATCGATGAATGCACCTGGCGATGAATTTTTGCGCGCGACGCGCCCTTCGCCGCGAAATTTCGATCGCTCGCGCGGATAAGCATATGCAGATGCGCCGAAGCATCGTATTACGTGAGAAAAGTCGCTCCCGATCGCGACCCAGTATGGGAATGATTCGCTATTGTTGCACTATACGCGCGTTCGTTACACGTTCGACGTATTAATTATTATTATGATTTTTCTTATTCGCTACATGCTAATGCCGTGTTATTGCGCGTCGATATTGATTTCAAGCTTTTATTATTGGCGCGCGTTTTGAAATAGATCCACTGACGGTAGACCGAGTGAGAAACTTTATGTGAAAACGTGCTTGATAATTTATTCGTATTACAGTGTATATGATAGAAGTATTAAATTTCGCTTCGAAAAGGGATTAGCGATAAGCACACAGGAGGCTCGTTGATTTTTTTTTTCATTGCGAGAATTCGAACGGTAGAAATTAATTGTATAAATAACAGGCATCAAGAGCTGGGTAAAATGAAAAAAAAAATTTTCGAAATAATGGATGTAGTAAAAAGCTTTTGAACTCGATAAAAACTCATTATTTGCAAAACAATGAGCATTTGAAAGTGAACTTTAACTGAATCGCAACTTAACTGGCCCTTTTTCCAATCCCACAATAAGCTCATTTTCTGAAAAAAAGAAAGAAAAGCAAAGAAAGCGAGCGAGGGCGAGAGCAAAAAAATGGATCTAAGTGGCTTTGGCTTATCGAGAAATAAGTCGCCTGGCAGTCACGTCGTTGTGAAAAGTCAATAATGAATCGAGGAAAAAGAGGGAGTGATCCGCCGCGTCAATACGACCTCAAAAATAGAAAGAAATAAGACTCTTTCTTGTCATTATCACGAGCGACGTTGAGAAAAAACCTATATATACGTGTGACGCGTATGTGACGATGCGATTTCTTTCCAGCGGCATCAAAGTGTCAAAAACACGTATCACTTTGCGCCTCTTTCTCTCGCTCGAGTTTTTAGCGTTAAAAAAAAAAGAAAAGAAAAAGATGTCATGTACGAACGCGGATGTATTGGCTTCCACCCCCCCCCCCCCCTCCCCCCTTCTAACAGCAGTCGAATGTGGTTTAGACGCGTCAGTTGTCATCCGATGAAACGTTGAAATTGAGAGAGGAAACGTGAAAGAAATGGAGTAGCTCTTATTTTCAAAACTCGGTAGTTCGATATTTTTGTATAATATAAAGCTTGTTATTTTACAATAAATTTGGCTTTTTATTTTTGTTATCAATAAATTCGCACTTGTTAAGTACTTGTTGGCAAAATTATAAGTCGAATTGTTTCTTAAATTAGCACATTTCTTATATTTAATGTGATATTCGGTATAAAGGATTAGAGTAACGTAAAAATTATAAAATATATATTAATCGATATTAATGGTACGAGATCAAATAAACAGTATAATTACAGAAAGTTAAGCATAAAAAAAATTATATCTTAAATATAGAAAATCTCTAAGCATAGAATTTATATATATGATACAAAATATTTATCGCACAAAGTTCTGTATGCGTAATTATTTTCAACTCTAAAGGTGCTCATTTTTTATTGACTTTCACAATGAACTGATGAAATTAAAAAATTATTTCAGAAGTAAAAAATAAATTAGTAGTGCTGAAATGATCGAGCATCTTTACTTTGCAACCGAACAAATTTATCATCCTTTTGATTGATCAAGTTTGTTTCTTACATATAATTTGTAAAGTATTTAAGTAGCTAAAATATACTGTGAGAGTTATACATTAAGAAATGTAGGAAAAATATTTCGATCTTCTGAAATAATTAGAATAGCATGAAAGAAATTTCCATTTTCTTTAATATATCTAGAAAATAATTGTGATCGTGGTCATCAATAGCTAAATTTTCAAGTGATTATTCCCCCAGCAAGACCTTTCATTGGCAGATCCGAAGACGAAAGGAAGGACCATGAATCAGTGTGTGGATCATACGTTTCTACAGTTGAATTAGCAATACCGCCAATTGCATATAATTGTTTACGATGTGTCACTAGTACGAATCGTAATCTGATTTCTTGCATACTCGCCACATACCGCCACCTTCCATCGAAACAAAGTATTATAATGTTGTTTGTCAAAATTACTTTTGCATTGTAACTAAATCGAACTAACTGTTTGTTTTCAACATCGTAAACTTCAACTGTACTACTAGTACAGGATACTTCAGTGAGGTCACCTCCGCAAGCATACAATTTGCCATCCAAAACCGCCGCTCCAAGACCAGCGCGACCTTGTTGCATGCTTGCACTTAAAATGCTCCACTGGTTGGTAGATGGATCATATCTTTCAATCTGCAATTAGTTGTAATTGACGTCGACAAAGAACGATCGATCGCAATCACGAGAATTAATCTAATAATAAGTCTTTGCGAACCGAATCCAATGCGCCTGCAGAGCGATTGCATCCGCCAACCACGTAAATACAGTCGTCGAAAGCCACAGCTGCAGCATCTGACCGTGGATTCTTCATGCTCGGCAGTGTTTCCCATTTGTCGGTCACGGGATCATACCTCTCGACTACATTCAACACTCCTAATTTATTCCAACCACCGCATACATACAAGTAGCCATTCAGTGAGCATACAGCTGGATCGCTGTTTATTTCGAATATATATATCAATTTTCTCGCGAAAGTATTGATTCTATTGTTGAAAGAATATTACGTGATTGTTACCTTCGTTGATTATTCATGGGTGATAATTTTTTAAAATATCTTGTAGAAGGGTCATAAACTGTTACATCCGTTGTAAAATTTCCAAAATCATTTCTACCACCAATTAGGTATAATTTATTGTTTAGTGTACAACAACCAAAATCATTTTCGTGTGATATCATACTTCTAGCAACCACCCAGCTATCTACAGACCACGTGTCTAAAAATTAATGATTTTATTTCTACATCAGGATCTTTATTATTTTGATGTATAAAAAAATTAATTGAATTAAACAAGATTTTCTATTGTGGCCATTGATAAATATACGTATCTTACCCACTCTTAAGTTATACATCTGGATTGAATGTGGTTTTTTTTTGTCAACTACAATAATGCGTTTGTCAGAATTTTTAGCAAAATCACCTGAATTCGAAACAATCTCTCCTATTATGTCACTAAAAGACATTTTTCATAATCAACGAAAATTTCAATGGTATGCATTAATTAAATATGATTTACCTGTGTTGATGTGGTATAGTTTTCGTTAAGTAATTGACTAAATAATCAGAAGTAAATATTGAAATTTGAATATAACTCATTAAGTCTTTTAAATAGCTTTTTCGATTAGCAACATCATGCATTATCCACTTTATAGTGCCTTCAAAATATTCTCTTTCATAACTCACTTTATTCTCTGATAAAATATCTTTTAACGCGTCCACGTGCATATTTAGGTATTCCGTATTTTCTGATATACTAGGCAAGTGACGAGAAATCATATTCTTTGATGCTTCTTTAAGAGAAATACTGTTGAAATTGTCTGATAATTTGTAGAGTTGCAAAGCTGTTTCCGAAGTTAAATACGAGTCTTTCAAAAATTCAATACAAGCATCTTTCATATCGATTTCATCGAGGAATTCGAAATCTCGAAGCAAACTGAGAACGTTGAATTCTGTTATTTTTATCTGGCCTGTGTAGGCGAATCGAATAATTGAATCTAAATTTCTAGAAAATTATAAATTTAGTTAGAAAAAATTGTTTACAAATCTTATCGGTATAGTGTTGCTTACGCTGCTTCAATTCCTGTTAAAACTATAGCATCATTTTTTTTTACAACTTCATTTTGGATAAATAAGTGTTCAAAATATCCGTATGCTGCTGCCAAAATTACTTTATGAGCACAACACTCTTTATCTTTTACCTTTTAAAAATTAAAAAGGAAACCAAATTTATTTCAAGGGTAATACGTTATTGGATAGTTTTACATAATTCATCGTTTGTTGTTACTTTTAAGCTTAATTATCAACATTAAGATACCAATAATACTTACTTTAATTGTGATATCACATAATAGATTACTATTTCTCATACTTTCAAATTTTGAAAAATGACATCGACGACGGTAAATTTTGTATTTATTCTGAACTGTTTCTTTAATTTTTGAATCTGATAACTTATTTTCATCCATCTAGAATATAATAATCTAATAATACAAATAATGTAATTGACATGTTAATACCTTTTTTTACTATAAATTTCCTAATTTCTAATGTAATATAACAATTAAATTATTTTCTAATGTATATTATATAATAGAATTCGTATAATATAATAATATCCTTCATTTTTTTAAATAAACGAATCATCATTTTGTTATAATTTATCATTCAATCAATGAATTATAATAAAATTACTTTAGAACTAGAATGATAATATTCAAGGTTTTTAAATTTACGCGCCAAACTCGTATTACACAGTGAACAGTTTATCTATGAGCAATATTTCTTATTGAGTGTGCAATAGGTTAATGCTTTTTAGCAATAAATGTAATAAATACAGCTAAATATTTCCGACTGTAAATAGAAGTATCAACAGTTTGCAATGATTTATTAAACTGCAATTTTTGTAATGACATTAAATTTTATTGCGACATCAGTTGTAATAGATTTTGTACTTGATGAACTTTTTTCTTAGCTATTATTTTACTGTTATCCCTGAAGTAAATATTAATCAAAGACTAGATTTTGAAAAATTAATATTTTATTCTAATAAAAAATTTATTTACATGAGAAACAATTAATATTCTTACAATCCAAAATAAAATGAGTGAAGTCAAATTTTTATGTTATTAGAGTTTTATTCAAATTTAGTTCTTAGTTATTGCATACCTTTACTTTGACCTTGACAGAGAACTTGTGAAATTAATTATCAATCTCTACATAAATTTTAAAGATATTTGGTATAACAGTTCACTACAGTTTCTGCCATGCGAGTGGCGAAGACGCCTAGAACAGATATTTTATGTCCTACTCACGCACCTTCTCCACGTGGACACAATATTACGGCTTGCGGCTGCGCACATTGCACATAGTCACGAAACTGACAGCTCCGACAAGTGGCGCGCTCTCAGAATCATTTTGAATAGATTTTAACAAGGCTTTTTTTTATTGGTATATTTTTTCGATTCAAATTAGTCTTGATACTTTTATAAAATAAAATAAATAAAATAATTATTTTGCATGACTTAGTTAACAAAGACTACTAATAAGTGTGATTACGATGTTGATAATGCTATAAATCGTTAATGAATTAGATTATGTCAAAATACTAAATCTGTATTCGAACTTTTTAGAAAATGCGTTTTGTTCGAAGTACAAAATTGATTTTAATAGGGAATATTTTGTGAAACACAATATTTTTTATTACTAAAGAATCAGCATTTACGTCATTTTTTAAATAAAACTATGATTTTAAGGAAGAAGTAAATTGCTTATTTATAGTAATAACTATTTATCTTCTAAATCTTGCGAAATTCTAGAGCAATGAAATAAGAGAGTGACATCCAAATATTATAAATAAAAATGATCTCTACTCAATTTATTATTGACAACGTTTCGCTAGTTTGTCTTTCAGCCTAATCATGCCTTTTATACAAAATAAATCAAACCGTTATACAAATATGATGACAATTTTACAATAAAACGGTATCAAATCGAACAACAACAAAAAAACATACAAAAAATGCAACTGAAAATTTTTCACGTTATCGATTGCTGAGCCAACAAAAAATTTATTGTAAATTTTGTTAAATAAAATTAACAATATAGTCAAGTTAATACTCATAATATAATACATAGCAATCATAAAACGCAATACAAATTGCAAATACAAGATTCATAATAAATTTTTTGTTGGCTCATAGCAATCGATAACGTGATCTTAAAAAATTCTTCAGTTGCATTGGTATGTGTTTTTTGTTGTTTTTCGATTTGATACCATTTTATTGTAAAATTGTCATCATGTTTATATAACGGATTGATTTATTTTGAATAAAGGGTCTGATGAGGCTGAAAGACAAACCAGCGAAACGTCGTCAATAATAAATTGAGTAGAGATCATTTTTATTTATAGTATTTGGGTGTCGCTCTCTTCTTTCATTGCTCTAGAATTTCGCAAGATTCAATATGATCGAGAGTAATAATATGGTTAATTATTTATTTTTTACATTGAGATATAATTAAGATAGTAATAGACATGTTCCAAACAGGAAATAAGAGTACGCAAAGAACACGGTGAATCTTTGGTTCATTTGCAAAAAAGAATTCTTCAATTTCAAATGATCACTACTATTAGTATTTATAGATAATCAAGTAATAACTAAATAAATTCATATGTATGCTATAATAAACCAAATAAAACTATGAAATCGAAGAAAGCAAAGTAGCCATTAATGTTACTGATATAACGGATTTCGAGATCATTGGTCTTATGGTAATGAACAACAAATTGGATTCACTTCAATAGTCGTCTCTATTACTCTACTTACAGGTTAGGCAGGTTATGGTAGCGCTGAGTTGAACGACTTTTGTAAGACTCGCGGTTACGGCACGCGCGTGTGGACTAATATGGACGGAAATACCTTTCAACGAAGAAACAAATATATAATATGAAATAAATGTACCTGCCATCCTAATCAAATAATAAACTTAATAAGCATTTAAATAGTCTAGCTCGCATCCACTTGTACTGCCATCGCACACGCGGTGTACGCAATGCACGATATTTATCTAGGACACATTATATTAAACAGTACGGCAGCATGTGCTGGCTGTGGGCTAATGTAGTCACTTGATCTGGAAGGGCATTTACGAAGTGGCATCCTATTGTTTTCGTGAGTTTCATAGGCGAATCTGCTTGAAGCTATTAAAGCCGCAATTCGAATACTTCACGCTCTATAAGAAAGCGAAATAAACGGCCTTATTTAATTTTCTTCAGTTGTGCTTTATGACAGAATGTGCGCTATCAAATGAAATAAGTTGTTAGTGTGCGAAATATCAATAAAAGTGAATAAAGTATCTGCGGTTATTTATTACGCATTGCATTACCATAATGTTGCTCCAATTAAAATAAAATTAATAAAAGTTGTCATTGTTATATATGTATTGCTTTTTTCCTGTAAAACAAACAAAGCAAAATGTTGAAGTTAATGCTAACACACCCCGTCTTTTATATACGTCTTTTTTATACGTGCTATATTTTTTTCAATAATTGATTTAGCTTAATTCATGCAAATAAAGTCAGCGCAAGTTTATTTATTTTGTATTATTCGCACATCCCTTCGGTGACAAAGGCAGCCATAAGTAAGTTCATAAACGCCCCGATATCGCGGGACTACGCGCCTCCTCGGCTTTGAGAATCTCGAGGGTTCAATCAATTTCCAATGCAAATCGCATTTGTGATCGGGACGCGGGGACAATTCTCGCGCTTATCCGTCCTGCACAGTATACCTCGTCGTTGTCGTCGTCGTCGTCTCTCTCTCTCTCTCTCTCTCTCTCTCTCTCTCTCTCTCTCTCTCTCTCTCTCTCTCTCTCTCTCTCTCTCTCTCTCGATCGACGGAATAATCTCGCAGCTCTTCCTATCCAACTACTCTTCCTTCTACTTCCCTGTATATAACGCGAGCGTCTTAATCAATGCCATCTTCTGGATGATGGCGCCCGCAACGAAATAGAACAAGACGTCGCCTCAATAAGAAATCGAGAGAACGCGGTTAAAAGTGTAATCGCGCTAGAGTGCCAGACAAACATTAAAGCCGCGCGTGCGAGAGAGAGAGAGAGAGAGAGGTAGGGGGGCAGTGATAAAAAGAAAAAAGTGTCGTGAGAATAATTATCTGGGCTGTTTGCGCAAGCGCGCCCAAATTAAAATGCTGTTTGCCACGAAACTCGAGGTTCGAATTAAAATCTTTCTCGAGCTTCCTTTTTCTGCAGCTAGCGAAATCTCTCTCTCTCTCTCTATCTCTTTAATCACCTCGCGCGAGGGGTATACACACCGCGAGAGTGGCGCACTCGACCGAACTTCTCTCCCTTCTTCATGTCGGTTTTCTCGCAATATCGCCAGCCATTAGGCTGCCTTTGTGCGCGTGTACTGCGCGTCATATTCGGGGATCTCTTTTTGCTTGCGCGCACTTATGTATAACCTGCGGTCAGTTGAAGTGCCAAAGCGCAGGCCTTTGAAGGCTCTCTTCTCGACGCGATGAGTGCTGAAGTGGCTAACCACCCCTCTTTTTTTCTTCTCTTCTCCAATTGATTACCGAGTTGGGGTTGCCGACGCTGAATGAAAGTTATGAGATGCGAACGCTTGCCGTTACGTGAGATATTAGATTTTTTTTGCAGCGTAAGATTGATTGCTCTAAATTTACAGTGATTAATTGAATTGACGTCGTCAGATTAATTGTTCTCCTTGTGCAAATGAAACGGTTTAACTTTGCGTGTAATTTGAAAGTGATCCGCATCTATTTATGCGTTGAAAAAAAAATGGATTTTTGAGGAAAGAAAACGTAAAGAGGTTTTTAAACAATCTGCAGCAGTGAATTTCTGAAGCGAGACGTTTAATTTACTCGAGAGACCACTTGATATGATTGAGATGGGTTAACTCAAGATTTTCTGTTGGAAGCGATGGGGGATGAAAGATGGATGGCTGACTTCTTTTCAAATAGATTATTTACAATATTTGATGAAAAGAAGTTTTCAATAGGATTTCACGGATTTGGCGTTGCACTTACGTGCTGTAATTTGAGGCAAACATATCAAATGTTTGTCGTAAAGTAGAATAAATTATCTAAACACGTTAACTCAGTTGTCGCACGAAAGTGACAAAAATCTCTAACATAAATAATTGATAAAACACACCAATAAATCTGTAGAAGAAAATATAATCTACATTGTTTCAAGTGAAACACTCGTAACAATTGCAATCAATCAAGCCCGTCTGAAAATACATAGGGTGTACCCGTATCCTTCCGCATCATAAGTTTGTAGGCATTTTCAGGGAAAAACTCTCACGGCGCTCATTGTAAATTGCAGGGAGGGGAGGGGAGATAGTTTTTCGCTCTCGAACAATATGTCCGTAAAATCCACTCGTCGACCACGACGATACTCGACCAACAAACAAGCAGGCAATCCTGTGTAAATATTCTTTACACTGAAGTAATGACGGGTGTCAGCGACAACTCGGCCCCGCGACAAAAGAAATGACAACGTGCGTCGTCGGTCGACCTGCATATATATATACTGAGGGCTATGCCCATTGTATTCTCGACGAAGCGGTGTTCTATTGTCACTTCTCTATGTATACCCCGAACGATTAAATATCGGACTACGTGCGAGGGTGCTTTTTCCCTTAGTTAAGCTCCGTAGTCGCATTGTCACGTTGTATAGCGCGCCGCGCGAGAGATCGTTTTTCCATTTCCTGTCTTGACGCGCGACTTGCATCCATTTGGATTATCTAAGTCCCGCGCGACGTTTTTATGACGATTGCCAGCGATTGATGGCGGCTCTCGTCGTAAGGCCTCGATTGCTCTGTATTTACGACTATTACCATTTTTCTGGATGCGCCTGGCCAAGTGAGCTGCGGCGCGCGCGCGAAGAGCGCCTTTTCGACAGTTGGCTCGTAAAATTACGATACCGTCATTTCATTACGGCGAGCATGAATTGATGGAAGAGCGCTCGCCGCAGCTCAACCGAAATAAACCAGTAGTATATCATTTTCAGTGATCCGTCTACTCAGTGATGTCATTTACGAAGCGTTGCGTTTGAAAAATTTCACTGATAACAGTGATATCGCGCCAGACTAGCTCGCAAGATACATTCGATTACGTGTATCGTTGCCGATCGGCTTATTCATGCTCTCTATTATGCGATCTACTACTACGCGGATTAAAACTAGCCTGCACTCTCTGAACTCGACACGCAGGTATACATACGCACACGCACGAGATATGAATAGACGAAACGTGAATTCAAAGCCGAGCGAGAGAGACAGATACGACCGCACGTGCATCTATGGTACTTGTCCCTTTTGATCGGCTGATTTGACGTTTGTTTATGGTAACGCTCGCAGCTCGGCTCGCGAGAGAGGCTGAAAGGTATAAAACTCAAGTGCTTGGTCATCCCCCTCGTCGCTCTCTCTCTTTCTCTCATTCTCTGTTGTCTTTTTTAAAGCGGCTTGTTCATCGTGAATTTTGCTTTTCCATTTTCATTGAGACTCTTGGACCATTAGCCACGCGAGTTTTCATCAAGGAATTCCCTTCTCTCGCCATACACGCGCGCACATATGTCTCGTTCGTCAATGATTGTCAGCCAAGCGGGAGGAGAGAGACGGAGAATTCCTCGACGATCCACATGCGTGTGCAGTTTATAATACGGCGCTCGCATATAACTGAGCTGCGCAGAAAGAATATGTTTGTGTCGATTCTTTTGAGCCAAGGACCAACCGATCGATCATCATTCTTGTTCGTCGTGTATCGCAAATGTAAATTGATTCTTAGGTGAATGAATGTGTTTGCTATAATGGCAAATTAATGTGCTTCTCCTCGTATTATAGCTACTTTATTCTTTTTTTTTCTGGTTTTTTCCGCAGATCGATAGCATTTACGAGAATTTGGAAAAAAAAAGCTGAATAATTATTAAACTGGCTAGCCAATGTCGATTGAAAGGCTCATTTTCTCATTAAGTATCGAATCTCAGTAAGTAAACAAATTCATTGTGATTTGACAGTTAGTCGAAAAATAACAGCATGAAGTTTCATTCACTCAGCGGAGTAGGTATGCATTAGGTCACTTTGGGGTGGCGCGGGACACAGGAAGTTCAGCCGAACGCGACTGCACATAAGAATAGCCTCATCGACTCTATACGTATATACTGCGAAAAAAAGAACTCGGCGGGATCTTTAGAAGCATAAAGACCTGCGCACTCGCGCGCAAAAAGAATGAGGGAGGAGGTTACGTGACAAAGGCCAATTTTTCCTAAAAATGGCCCGCTGCTGGGGACATTATACTTTTGAAAGGAAGATGCAAAAGAAGAGATCACGCGCGGGTGGCCATGCTGAAGAGTATGCAGTGTTGCTACTGCAGCTTGAGTTTTCGAGATTCTTTTGAGAAATAACGGTAAAGACGAATATGCCATAGAATATGTTGTCGGAAGAATCCTAAATCGGGAATGGAGATTTGAAAGAGGTTGTCGACTTTTGCTAGATACAGTGACAAAGAATCCTCGGCTAAGATAATTTACTCTCAAATGAAATCGTAACTGAATATCTTTGATTACTAGAAGAAATTATTTCGCGATAAGAGGACATATTCTCGATATAAGAAGAATCGTCGTTATCACAAGTGGCTGTACTAAAATTTCCGTCCTCTTCTTATACATAGACCATTCCGTATGTAAATAAGGAAATGAATTTAAAAAAAAACAAAGCAGAGGATTTCATAAATAATAAAAGTAGGTTTCATTTACCTATCGTTTATCTAAATTAGAACTTGGTATCTATGTTGATTTCGCTGATACTAATTTACACGCCTAATCTTGCCGACGACATAAGTGTTTTCAAGGTTACAGGCACCATTTTAAAAGTAATTTATCAATGTCACCATATGAATAATAAAACGAAAGGCCAGTAGCTCCAGCGACAAAAAAGTAGCAGACAATAAATTTCGAAAGAAAAAATAGAGATTAGTCGAGGCAAAGGGACGAGAAAATCGCTGAAAGATACACCTATTGGAGAAAGAAAGAGAGAGAGCAAGAGAAAGAATGAGTGCGGGGAATAAAAGGGCAGGAAAAACTGCATGAATGGAGAATCAAAATCTGAAAGGAAAGCGAGAGAACACACACACACACACACACACACACACACACACACACACACACACACACACACACACACACACACACACACACACACACACACACACACACACATATATATATATATATATACATACATACATACATACATACATATATATAACGCATGCATCCAAAAGAAGGAAAAAAGGAATCGGAGAAAGAGGAAGGTGTGCATAGACGCCCATACTACGAAACCTTGAAAATAGAAAAAAGGCGCAGTAGCCAGTGGGAGAGAAAAAGGTGTCGCCTTCGTTGTCGGACGGCCCCATTTTCCCATTCAAGGGCGGCGTTTGACCTATAGCGCGAGAAAAGCGCGCTTCGCCATGAATGAACTCGTCGATCCAAATATCGCGCGATGAGCTATTGAAGAACTATTGTCAAAGCTCGACTCGAGGCTCTTTCTTTCCATTATGAAGCCTAAGCTTTTGGCCCCTTTCTCTCTTTCTTGCTCACCTTTTTATACTTGCTCTCTTCTTCCAAGATTCAGGAGAGACTAGCATAGAGACGTGGTTATCATCATAGATTCCGATTTGTCACGTCACCTGCTCTGACAAATTGCCATTGTTGAAGAGAAATGAGACACATTTGCTCGTGAAACTTTGACATTTTAACATAATTGTAAAATTTTTCAATAACAAAATTAATTTCTTTTTTTTAATTCAGTAACATTTGTGGAAAAATAGAAATAATAATGTTATAAAGTTGAAAGCAATATACTTCATCTAATAGATAGTTACACTGCCTTCGTGAAAAATATTTACCAGTCATTAAGATAACAGCTGTAATAATCTTATCGGTAGATTTATATAAACAGTCTGTCAGAGCTAAATTTGCGGAGTGCATTTTGATAAAAGCCTAACTGCAGTTGCTTTTAGAGCTTAATAAATAATAAGTTATGGAACTGTAACCATTTAAAAACTTAGTTGCAAAATAGTATGGATACTGAACTTGATGATATTTTACACGAAAGCTTTGCTGAACATGTCCGAGATATCAAAGGTAGTTATTATAAGGGCGTGTGGTTGCCTCAAGATTACTTGAAAATTACCGACGATATAGAAAATTTTAGAGTACGTGATGATGACGTCTGGGTGTGCAGTTTTCCAAGATCAGGTGATTTATAATATAATTTTTTTGTGCAATCATATCTTACCATTTTGCATAATTTATAATATCATAATAGGGACAACTTGGACGCTAGAAATGGTTTGGTGCATATGTAATGATCTGAATTTTGAAAAAGCCAATAAAATCCTATCGACGGAGCGAGTTTTCTATTTAGAGTAAGTTAAAACGTGCACACTTAACGGGATTTTTACATTATGCTGTTTTTATGTGTGATGTAGATTTTTAGGAGCTACTACTGCAGGTATTTCAATGGCCCGTAAAGGTTTAGCTTCTAAATTGACTATCGATAGTGCTAATCGATTACCAAGTCCTAGATTCTTTAAAAGTCATTTACCATTTCATTTACTGCCAAAAGATTTAAGAACAGGGAATACAAAAGCTAAAATTGTTTATATAACTAGAAACGTCAAAGACGTGTGCATATCGTACTACCATTTACGCAAAAATTCAAAAATTTACTGTGGAACCTTTGACAATTATTGTAGACTATTCTTAGAAAACAGATGTAAGTTAAGCAGACGTAATTAGATGTAATTATAAAACAAATGATAAATTTTTAAATGAATATTATTTTTTAAATGTACAAAATTAACAGTGGCTTATACCCCTTATTGGAATCATCTAATTGGTTATTGGAAAGCTAAAAAGTCGCATAATATTTTGTTTCTAAAATTTGAAGATATGAAAACGGTATTACCATTAGTTTTTATTTTATATAGTGTTGACTTTATCGTATCATTAGTAGGCTTCTGCAAAATGCTGATATCTATTTTACAGGATTTACCATCAGTTATCAAATCAGTTACTCGTTTCTTCAATACTTCATTGATTGACAAACAAATGGAAGCGTTATGTGACCATTTAAGTTTTCATAAAATGCAGCTGAATCCAACAACGAATGGACAAATAGATTACAAACCTGTCCTAGAAAATTGTTACAATATCAAATGTTCAGATGTAGCTTTTTTTATAAGAATAGGTCAATCAGATCAATGGAAAACAGACATGTCGGAAGAATTAATAAAAACGTTTGACTCTTGGGAAGTAGAAAATTTAAAAAACTATCCTGAGTTGAGAACACATCTTCTATAACGTAAATAACTAAATGTTACAAGTATTATTCTTCATGTAAAAGGACAACATTTTCCATTAAAATCAATCAAGCTAACAGTCTTGTAAAATTATTCGACCGTTATTAATGTGCAAATTAGAAAAATAGTAATATAATTGTTTATAATAAGACTGGTACTTCTGATAATGCCTTCTCTGTTTTTTTATTTTCTAAAAACATCAAACCTTTAATTTTATTATTTAATTTATATCGTTACGATGTTTGATAATTATTATCAAGTTTTTTTCATCTTTGGTTTTTAATGCCAACAATTTTTGCTATTATAAAAAAAATTGAGTCCGACGTTCTAACATTTTCGCCATTGAATTAACGAGAACAATTATTTTTGTTATCATTGATCTAAGGAAAGAAACCGCCTCAGGTTTTTCTCACTCGATAGCAGGGATAATTCATCTAATGCCTACAATCAGTTTGATAACTTATTCTTTTAAATATATTCTAAAGGATTTATTACAGAGATTTCGTCACTAAATTTGATCACAGCTCGCTGAGTATTACAGTGTTTAAAAGTTGTAATCAGTTTAGCAAGCTCTTTTTCTGTTAGTTAGCAATCTAGAACACTGTGATTATCATATATATCGTCATTAAATAAATACATTAGTCAATAAGATAACAATCTATCACACCTGATTTGATAACTGAAACTTGATAACTTTTCCAAATCTGCACATTTTTAAAACGAAGTGGTAGAAAGTATTTTACAAATACATTATTTATGTAATATTAGAAGACTCCGAAATCTAAATCAAAGTAATATGAATTCTTAACTGAATCAAATATTGTACGAAAGTTTTGCTGAACTTGTCCAAAATATCGAAGGTGTCTATTGTAATAACCTATGTCTTAAGATTACTTGAAAATTGCCAGCGGTACAGAAACTTTTAAAGTACATGACGATAACATTTCAGTGTGCAGTTTTCCAAGATCAGGTTATTTATATTATAACGTTATTACACAGTTTATTTACCACTAATTACATGATCATTGATGCAACCTTATATAATTTGTTACATCATAAAATAATTAACTTGCACTCAAGAAATATTATGTTGTATTTATAATCGACTGTATTATGAAAAAGCCAAAACGCAACTAATAAGTAAATATTTTTATTTAAAATAAGTGAATAGGTGAACGGCCACAAAGTTTTAAAATATAAAAATTTGCTCATTACGTTTCAGATAGAGTTTCAAGCACTTACATTTTTAATAGCCCAAAAAGGATTTTCAGATGCTACTCAATGGAGCATTAAAAACGCAATTCAATTATCAAGTCGTTGACTCTCGAAAAGTCACTTATCATTTCATTTATTGCTAAAAAACTTGAAACGGAGGAATACAAAAGTTAAATTATCTATATTATTAGAAACTCAAAAAACGTATGTATACCGTGCTACCATTTGTGCAAAAATTCAAAAAAGTATTATGAAACATTTGAAAATTATTGCAAACTATTTGTTTTCAAATAAATGTAAATTGGAATGTCATGAAGAAAATATCAAATCTTACAATAATTTTATTTTATTAAATACTTAAAACCATCAGTGTTGTATACGTTATATTGGGATTACCTCATTGATTGCTGGAAAGCTAAAACATTGAAGATATGAAAAAGGTACTTAAATTGTTTTACTTTTTGGTATACATAGTATTAATTTTTAAATGTGAAATTAGAGAACTCATGTAACCATTGATGTATTTTCAAAGGATTTACCGATAAATATTCTGAGATAAATACCATCAGCGATCAAGAAAGCTACTTTCTTCATGAAATCATGTACTGATAAAGAAATCAAAATCCTTGTGAGTATTTAAGCTTTTAAAACATGCAGTTGAATTTTGAAATAAATTCTAAGTAACAGTATAAACAGTTAGTGGAAAATGTTTATAATGTTAAAAAAACAAAAGTAAATTTCATAAGAAAAGGTCAATCAAATGAAAAGAAATTTGAAATACTGAAGGACTCGGTAATAAAATTTGACTGTTTGATTGATAATTATTTTAACTATTCTGATATTCTGGTTCACAAGTGCAAAATTTATAATAAAATATTGTATAGCTAGTTTTCGAAAAATAAAAAGGTTCAATCAAAGATTTATAATAAATAACAGAGATAAATATTTCATTTTCTTTAGCAGCTTAAACAAAAAATATAGAAGGATATTCCTAATGTAAAATATCCGTTGATCCTAACTTAATAAGATTAAATCCATCGTTACTTCTAATACACATATAGAGAATTGTTTATGTATTATTATATTATAACATAATCTCAATAATTTTCAATGTATGTTTGACACAAAACAAAATAATCAATACCTAACATTTTGTTTTTAAATTGTCTCAACTTGCATAATTTTAAAGTGGCTATATTTATATTCAATTACTTATTCACGTTTCATTTCATGTAATATTCAACGTAGTTCGAATCAAGACTATAAATTAACATACACTCTAATAAAGAGTATAGAGTTCACCAGCTGCAAGGCTGAAAGCTTGGGATATCGTAATAATCGAACGGGTTCGATATATTCAATATCAATTTCACGACTGCTGTTTTATTTGGCCGACCAACTGGCTTTTTTTGCATTCATTTGAATATCAATATATCGTATGCTCCGTGAAAAATCTTTTCACACGTATCCATCAGCCATTGGAAAATAATCGTCGGCCGGTAAAAATCAATCAATTAGAAAAAAGCGAAGGCAAATTCGCGATTCCGCCCAACTCACGCCCTACAATAAAGCGAGAATTTATCGCACTCCTCGACCCTTTTTTTTTCTTTGGTATCCCTTCGGAGATGTATATACGTACGGGCACAGAAGCGCGTGACATTGATTATGAATTTTTCATAGCTTAACGTTATGATCTCTGGCACGCATGCCCGGGACCGAGAAATCACGCCCATTTTTAGGCGATCAAACGCTGAGGTAAAGGTGAACGACGTGCATTTAACGCACCAAATGAGGAGGAAGATGTTACAGAATAGATGGGAGGAATCGGGTTGAATGCTCAAATCATATCTCGAATTGAGAGCGAACAAGCATCTGACAGCGACGCAGGAAGAAATTCACATGAAACTATTTGGTAATCGTTCTTTTCAATCGCTGGTCACATATAGAAACTACCGAAACGTACAGCTTTACACTTTGAAAATACAAAAAAGAAACGTAGTTTACGTATTATTTATTTATTTATTTTTTTGAATAATTCCTCATACTATTTTAGTATAAAGCATTTTACCAAGATTCGTTGAAATCGTTTAAGACAAATGGTTTTAGTTAAAATAAATTTTGTTGGTTTTTGATAACTTTTAATTAAATAACTTGAGGAGATAATTTCATAGCTTGTAACAAGGTTATTCTTCGATGTACGAATTTTACGTTACTCTCATTCGTTTCCTCTTCACAAAAAACTGATTCGTAAACTCGTTTTATAAAAAAAAATTGAGCGGGGCAGATGAGCAAAGTGGCTCACTTGCGAACGGTAGGCATTTTGGTTTTGAACGTTATGAAACAAGTAACAGCCAGTATTACTAAGAGATTGAAATGTTTCGAAAAAAGTTAACTGTTTTCGTCGGGAAATACACTTATTAAATTAAAGTTGATGTACTTACTAGGAAAAAACAATAAAGTGAATTGAAGAGTAACGAAACAAATTATTAGAAGATTCAGTTATAGACGAGCGATAAAAAAAATGTATTATTATAGCACTTAAATAAAAGTGTAAGTATTTTTTATAAGAGTTTAATTATTCAAAGCTAGAATTATTATTTATTTTACACACAAACCATGATTTTCCATATAAATTCTTCTTACTTATTAGTTGTTTACTTAATAAAAATTTAATGAAAGCTTACTTTCATCCTTAATTCATTGAAATTGAATTTCCACAATTTTTCTTAATATGTCGGAGAGTTAGAATTTATTTATTGTTACAGTCCTAACTTTATTAACAATTACTTATAGAGTAATTATACATATTTAGGCACTCATTTTCACACATTCAATATATTATAGAGACAGGTGTATCCGACCTAGTTAATTATTCAATTTACAATATATTAGTTGATTGATACAAATGACGATAATGTATAATAAATTTTGGATTCGCAAATTAATATATAACTTTCAATAGTAAAGTTGATTTAGTATTAACTGATGTAAGGCATACAAACCAAAAATAAATAATTTAAGATTAACAGCACGTCAAAAGTTTCGACAATAGTTGCCTATACACTTGAATTGAACTGTTAGCACGAAAGTCTTTTATGATATTCAAAGTAAAATAATGAAGTGTGTTGAACGTTAATTCCTTTACTGTATTGTTAGTTATTGCTCGAAATGGATTTATAAATAAAAGTATTAGTTTTGCTCAATTGAGATTGTATTGGTTTTATAAAGAGTGCTAAAAAGTTAGTTAAGTAACAGTATAACTTATTGAATTGTACATCATCTTTCGAGATGATGTATCTTGTTAAACTCGATTTTGGGACCCACTGTCAGCCATATGATCAATTTGACAAAGCTTATAACTGATAGGATCTAAACTGTCGTAGAACACGATCTTAGTTACAAGTTGAGTTACTCGTCGGGCACGAGCTGCTCGTTTTCTAATTCAAATGCACGCATCAACTTGTAGACGTGTAGACGCGTGCTCGCGCGCGCGAGCAGCTCACTCGCAGCTTGCCTCGCATAAATAGTCGTTTAACAATTTCCTGTGCCTCACTGTCTACGGTGTCCTTCGCCCCTAACGGTCGATCAGAAATTATTCATGACCTTAAGCCCTTTCCTCGTCATTGGATCTTGAAGCGGCGCACGCGCAGGACGTGAGCGGCAGTTTGGCTTTTGTGGCACGCGGGCAAGTGCTCCTGTGGTGACGTATGTCGGGAAAACTGCGGCCCGCATTTGCATGCCGGCAGCTACTTGTAACGCGCGTGCAACATTAATTCGTCGCGAATGAGATTAATGCCATGTCGAACACCAAGCGACATGCCACCGTCTTACCAAGAATATTTTGTTATAAAGTCGTCTGTAACGTTCCAATAAACTGACGTTCGCTACTAAAC